ATTCTGTATTCTTGCGGAACATTTGAAAAGGGCCTATCCTCGGCCTCTCTCTTCGATTTACCACGGCAACATAAACGAATTTCTCGCTAAGCTCACAGGACAGTTCAACATAAGATGATGTTAGCTGTATAGTCGCTATATTCATAAGCTGGCGGAGAGAATCTCGTGAATCAATTGAGCTGTCAAATAGTCGTTTGACCAATTAAGCTGTCAATTCACGACCAACAACAGAAAAAGGCACATCAGCTATTACGAACAAAACTTCCGGAAGCCGTTTTCTCGTGACTTAAGCCTCGCCTACGCAAACTAACTCAAATTTCCCCTATCCGATGATGAAAGCATAATCAAAGTTTTGTTTATAAAACTTGATAGTACCATTTCAATTGTTGGTCTACAATATATTGAATTGGTTCCGCTCTTTGATAGATCGAAATTCTATCCGCCAGACTATAAATATAGCGACTAGCTTGCACCTGAATCAACACACTGAATGGGAAATTCATTTGCAGTCGGGTTATTCGCGAAAGAGAAAATCAATGAAGAGAATTGGGCTGATTGATTATTTAACTTTATTGGTTCGTTAAATATTGTTGTAATATAATAAGATTGTATATAATAAGATTGTGCTTAAAGTATGTAGAGCACAATAAAGCAGATTAAGTAAAAAGCTATGATTTATGTTTTGGACTCCAATTCAAACTAGCAATTGCTGTTTTGTTTGCAGCAATTGAGCAGTGCAGAAACTGAGACCAATAAAAAATATCCATTAGGGCTCGTACATATATCTATGGATAATATCAAAAACGAGATTATACTGGGTAACAAAGGTTCTATTCACCTGCCCGGTGGATCAATTTGGGTTTTAACGGAGATAAATTGATTTAAAGATTTTCATACCCGCCAGCCTGAAAATAATGGGTTGGGACATATTTTGTTGGGAAAAAAATTCTGACACCTAAAAACCCTCCAAATCTCGATTAGAGCCGTATTAACGGAGATAAATCGATTTAAAGATTTTCATACCCGCCAGCCTGAAAATAATGGGTTGGGACATATTTTTTTGATGAAAAAATTCTGACACCTAAAAACCCTCCAAATCTCGATTAGAGCCGTATTAACGGAGATAAATCGATTTTAAGATTTTCATACCCGCCAGCCTGAAAATAATGGGTTGGGACATATTTTTTTGGGGAAAAAATTCTGACACCTAAAAACCCTCCAAATCTCGATTAGAGCCGTATTAACGGAGATAAATCGATTTTAAGATTTTCATACCCGCCAGCCTGAAAATAATGGGTTGGGACATATTTTTTTGATGAAAAAATTCTGACACCTAAAAACCCTCCAAATCTCGATTAGAGCCGTATTAACGGAGATAAATCGATTTTAAGATTTTCATACCCGCCAGCCTGAAAATAATGGGTTGGGACATATTTTTTGGATGAAAAAATTCTGACACCTAAAAACCCTCCAAATCTCGATTAGAGCCGTATTAACGGAGATAAATCGATTTAAAGATTTTCATACCCGCCAGCCTGAAAATAATGGGTTGGGACATATTTTTTTGATGAAAAAATTCTGACACCTACAAACCCTCCAAATCTCGATTAGAGCCGTATTAACGGAGATAAATCGATTTAAAGATTTTCATACCCGCCAGCCTGAAAATAATGGGTTGGGACATATTTTTTGGATGAAAAAATTCTGACACCTAAAAACCCTCCAAATCTCGATTAGAGCCGTATTAACGGAGATAAATCGATTTAAAGATTTTCATACCCGCCAGTCTGAAAATAGTGGGTTGGGACATATTTTTTTGATGAAAAAATTCTGACACCTAAAAACCCTCCAAATCTCGATTAGAGCCGTATTAACGGAGATAAATCGATTTTAAGATTTTCATACCCGCCAGCCTGAAAATAATGGGTTGGGACATATTTTTTTGGGGAAAAAATTCTGACACCTAAAAACCCTCCAAATCTCGATTAGAGCCGTATTAACGGAGATAAATCGATTTTAAGATTTTCATACCCGCCAGCCTGAAAATAATGGGTTGGGACATATATTTTTGGGGAAAAAATTCTGACACCTAAAAACCCTCCAAATCTCGATTAGAGCCGTATTAACGGAGATAAATCGATTTAAAGATTTTCATACCCGCCAGCCTCAAAATAATGGGTTGGGACATATTTTTTTGGGGAAAAAGTCTGACACCTAAAAACCCTCCAAATCTAGATTAGAGCCGTATTAACGGAGATAAATCGATTTAAAGATTTTCATACCCGCCAGCCTGAAAATAATGGGTTGGGACATATTTTTTTGATGAAAAAATTCTGACACCTAAAAACCCTCCAAATCTCGATTAGAGCCGTATTAACGGAGATAAATCGATTTAAAGATTTTCATACCCGCCAGCCTCAAAATAATGGGTTGGGACATATTTTGTTGGGAAAAAAATTCTGACACCTAAAAACCCTCCAAATCTCGATTAGAGCCGTATTAACGGAGATAAATCGATTTAAAGATTTTCATACCCGCCAGCTTGAAAATAATGGGTTGGGACATATTTTTTGATGAAAAAATTCTGACACCTAAAAACCCTCCAAATCTCGATTAGAGCCGTATTAACGGAGATAAATCGATTTTAAGATTTTTCATACCCGCCAGCCTGAAAATAATGGGTTGGGACATATTTTTTTGATGAAAAAATTCTGACACCTAAAAACCCTCGAAATCTCGATTAGAGCCGTATTAACGGAGATAAATCGATTTAAAGATTTTCATACCCGCCAGTCTGAAAATAATGGGTTGGGACATATTTTTTTGATGAAAAAATTCTGACACCTAAAAACCCTCCAAATCTCGATTAGAGCCGTATTAACGGAGATAAATCGATTTAAAGATTTTCATACCCGCCAGCCTGAAAATAACGGGTTGGGACATATTTTTTGGATGAAAAAATTCTGACACCTAAAAACCCTCCAAATCTCGATTAGAGCCGTATTAACGGAGATAAATCGATTTAAAGATTTTCATACCCGCCAGCCTGAAAATAATGGGTTGGGACATATTTTTTTGGGGAAACAATTCTGACACCTAAAAACCCTCCAATTCTCGATTAGAGCCGTATTAACGGAGATAAATCGATTTAAAGATTTTCATACCCGCCAGCCTGAAAATAATGGGTTGGGACATATTTTTTTGATGAAAAAATTCTGACACCTAAAAACCCTCCAAATCTCGATTAGAGCCGTATTAACGGAGATAAATCGATTTAAAGATTTTCATACCCGCCAGCCTGAAAATAATGGGTTGGGACATATTTTTTTGGGGAAACAATTCTGACACCTAAAAATCCTCCAAATGTCGATTAGAGCAATATTAACGGAGATAAATCGATTTAAAGATTTTCATTCCCTTCAGCCTGAAAATAATGGGATGGGACATTTTTTTTTTTGGGAAAAATGTCTGACATCTATTTATAGACGTCAATATAGAATGTATTGACAATACGATTATTGTCAATAAAAGCAACCATGTAGGGTCCACTGTAGAGTTTTTAGTACTTTCTGTGATCAATTTGATTTTCGTATCACTAAATACTGTTTTAAAACCAGGATAAGATTACATAGGATAAGCTAAAAATTGTCTGTACGTGCCAGTGAAGACAGTAAACAATTGATACCTAAATAAACAAATCATCAAGGGGGTACTTTTAGGCCTTTCTTTCCATCGGTTCTGGCTATGTGGCAATGCAAGCTAGGCACAGCCGTTACTGTCGAATTTCTGTAATTTTCATAAAGCACATATTAGTCTCACAAGAGAATTTAGATTTCAATTATCCTAATTTACGAAATACAACATATGCTGTCCGCATTAACCTTGCTGAATGCCGTTTGTATATGGATGTCACAATTCGTCTTGATATCTGTTACGAATAAACTGGCAAAGCAAGCTTCTTCAAAAATCAGATTTCCATCCTCTGAATAACATAATTTCCTTTATTTTTTGCTATCAACCTCCATATGCGTCTATTATATCCTGCTACAAGAACGACAGAAATATGAGGGGAAATAAATTACTTGACTTCCACTAGCCTCCGTTTAGCTATATGCGAACTTCAGCGTACTCGTGTGCCTCAATAGCATGTTTTGCTTGCTATGATTAAATTTTAGCTTCAATGGCAATACAGAAAAATGTCTTACGCTAACTGAAGAAGCGAAGAATTTTGGTGTCTGATTTTGAACTCCCAGTGATATGCATGTACGTTAAAATCTTACGAATGATGCTCGGACGACATACAGAAAACATTCAATTTCGTTTTGCTTGTCTGTACGGAGTTTCTGTTCTACGTCACCCTACAGCATAGCTCCATTCGAAAGCAGAAAAACTCTATCTAACGACGGAAATGTAAATTACCGCCCAATCTCGATTTATTTGATGTACTTTCGTTCCCCGCAGCTTCACCTTCGACTCACACATACCGTTAGAGAGAATGCCGCTGCCACCGCTTCAAATATGTTCAATCGCTTTACCGAGCAACGGATTCTCACTATAGGAACTGACTGAGTGCCACGCTACAAGGTTTTTCCCGGCAGGACAGGTTTGTGATAGCAGAGGCCAATGTTACATCGCAAAATGAAAATAAAAATCCTCCCTAGGGGCGGAGAAAGGCCTGATTGTGCCAACATCGAACATCCAAGGGAAGTATGCTACCAACTCTGAGAGTGCTTGTTCAAACCGTTTTGGGAGGGCTTGTCGTCATCGTCCCAATGTCAATATAGGGAGGCTGTAGGCGTATGCTTTTTTTCGTTGAAGGTCTCGTCCGGAAGTCAAAGGGACTGCCCCGTTACTAGAAGCTAAATGGGTGAAGCAGCTTTGCTGCAAGTATGACCGCGTTTCTCTTTATCCAGATTGATGAAATGAAATAGATTTTTTTTTTCAAATATACGCATTTATTTATAAGTAGTTTTCAATACACTCCATACTTTCAGAGACGAAAATTATTTGGTATTGGCACTTCCGAACACTCGATAATGTTCCTTCAAACGCATTGCATTGACTTCAATGAACCCAGTGGCAGCATAGGGCGATAGAGTTCCATGCACATCCATCGATGCCAGTTCCTGATTGTAGATACTCTTGGTTGATTCCCGAGCAACGGCCATAACGTGACCTTTGTAGATTTCGAGAACAACTTTTCCCGTCACATTTTTCTGAGCTGTAACCAAACAAGACCTCACAAACTCAGCTTCTGGAGAGTACCAGAATCCGTTGTACACGTAGTCGGCCATCTTCAGTGCTAGATAGGACTTCACTCTCAGAATTTCACGATCCAGGCAATAAACTTCCAAATCCTTGTGCGCAGCATACAAAATAGAAGCACCTGGCGTTTCATACACGCCTCTGGATTTCAGTCCAATAAACCGATTCTCAACCAAATCGATTCTTCCTACGCCATGTTGTCCTCCTATCTTGTTCAAGTACAGAATAATATTCAAAGCCCCCTCTATCGTCTTACCGCTTGCATGTTCTGACACACGAACCGGAATTCCTTCCTTGAAAACAATGTCCATTTTCACGGGTGTATCGGGGCCCTTCACCGGCGACTGCGTCATTTGGTACAGTTCTTCCGGGGCAGCGACAGCTGGATTTTCTAAAATCCCTGACTCGTAACTGATGTGCATAATGTTTGCATCCATCGACCAGGGAGCTTTCGTCGTAGCACTCACAGGAATTCCATGTTTCTTGGCGTATTCCAGTAAATCCGTCCGTCCCTGGAAGCGTTCACAAAACTCCGGCAAACGCCACGGAGCAATGACTTTCATCTTCGGATTTAAGGCGTAACAACTCAACTCGAATCTTATCTGGTCATTCCCCTTGCCGGTAGCTCCATGGGAGATAATCGTACATGAGCGTTGAGCAGCGCACTCGATCAGTCCTACCGAAATGCAAGGTCTGGCCAGCGATGTGCCGAGAAGATAGCGATCCTCATAGATTAATCCCATCTGGATAGCCGGCCAAACGTACTTCTCCACAAACATCTCCTTCATATCTTTGATGATGACGTCCTTGGCACCGATCCGAAGGGCTTTTTCACGAGCTGCGACAAAGTCTTCTTCCTGGCCCACATCGGCCATGAAGCAGATCACCTCGTAGCCTTTCTCGAGCAGCCATTTAAGGATGCAACTGGTGTCCAATCCACCGGAATAGGCTAGCAAAATTTTCTCCTGCTGGGACATGGTATTCGATGTTCACTGTTCAACGGTAAGTGCGGAACTAATCTCAATTTCACCTATATTCAAATTATAAATTTCGCTTTCAAGAATGATCGGGCGACAGGTTATCAAGGAAGCGATAACACCTTTCTGTCTATAAATAATGGGAGCTTGTGGATCGTACATTGCACTAATCAGTTTGCTGACGTGTTCGGTGTTATTTTGAATTTGATGCTGTAATATGGACTCAAATCCCAAACGATGCATCGGAAGATGCTAAAAATGCTATCTATGTTATTGTATTCAATTTTGAGTGGAATAGGTTGACTTCCCACATTGTTGTTGATACGTAGGAATATCTCCATTTAAATTTTAATCATACCTAATTCTTTATGCATACTTTTAGCTAAGAATGAAAAGTTGCTATAGTTGTATCGGATTTTGCCTCAGTAGTAGACAATATAATCAATAACATTATTTTCTAATGATATAAGCCCTTTTCATATGGAATTCTGGATTAATCAAAGTCAACTTAGTTGCTGATTAGACAAAATTAGCTCGCAAAAAATAGCAAGAACAACAAAACTTAAAAGAACTGCTCATGTTAAAAAGGGTGGCTAAAAAAACAAATTACATAGCTAAAAGCTTATCTTTAAAAGAATAATGAATACAATTTACCAAAAAATCCCAAATTTATAATGTCAAAATACCAGAATTGTGGAAAGTAAAAAAAGTCCACAGGGCTGCCATTAAGGAATCTAGTAGTGTTCAAAAATTGGAAATCTCTTTTGAAGTATTCGGCCAAACAATTCATTCAGTCAAACAACCCATTCGGCCAAATGGCGTTTGGCCAAACGGCATGCAGCCATACGGAATTCGGCCAAAGTCAAAGTCAAAGTCAGTTGCTGATTAAACAAAATTAACTCGCAAATTGAGCTTCATTGGATTCTGAGATGATTATGGCCTTCACTGGTTTAGTTTTGTAAGAAAATGGCACGTTGAAAAAAATTCAGTTCAGACATGTTAGAAAACATGTTTTTCCTTAAAAGTGTCCATCTTGCAATGTATCAACGGTTAGAAGTTAACATATGTGAAACGGACTTTCGGTCCAACCAAGTTTCATAGAGAACCCTATTCTGATGTATATAATTCAGTTCTGCGCCTTCGAAGCAGGCAACATGTATTACAGTGCTCGAACCAGTAGAGATTAATGATGGGTGTTAAAAGAGGGTGAAAATGACAATCATCGGTCAGGGTACAAAAAAAAATATTAATATGAATTTGAAAATCAAGAACGAAAAAACGAAACTAAAGTGGACAGTTGACGCAATTAGACTAATCAGTTGAAGTTTTATAAGAAGATTTAATTTTTGAATCAGAAGTTAATTTGAAACCAAATATTTCTAGATAAGCATTTCAAAAGGTCCTAGCTGCATTGATCGATTCTCTTCATCTATTTTCTCTTTCGTTAATAACTCAGCTGCAAAACCTTTCCCTGTAGTATTTGACGTTTTGGACGCTAGATAAGAACCTCCTTTATCAAACTATTTGGTAGAATTAGCGCGAAATCTGTTTGCATAGCTTACTTACCTTACCATTTAGGCTAAGGCCTTGTTGTCCTCTGCTGTCCGAAGAAGTCGTCTCAACTCTACTTGATCCATGGCCACAGTTAGCCAGCCTCGTAGTCTGCGAAGGGTCCGCGGGTCACCTTCTACTTGGTCGATCCACCTTGTCCGCTGCGCGACTCTTATTCTTGTTCCTGTTGGGTCGCTTTCTAGAACCATTTTCACTGGGTCGTCGTGCGGCATTCTAACGACGTGCCCAGCCCACCGTAGTCGCCCAATTTGTGGACGATGGATGGTTCTCCCAGCAGCTGGTGCAATTCGTGGCTCATTCACCTCCTCCACGTTCCGTCATCCATCTGCACTCCACCGTAGATGGTACGCAACACCTTCCGTTCGAAAACACCAAGGGCGCGTTGGTCCTCCACGAGCATAGTCCAGGTCTCGTGGCCGTAGAGGACCACCAGTCTAATCAGCGTCTTGTAGACAGTCAACTTCGTGCGGCGGCGAATTTTATTCGACCGGAGCGTCCTCCGGAGTCCACAGTAGGCACGATTCCCTGCCATAATGCGTCTTTGCGTATCATTTTCGGCGGTCACCAGTGAGCCCAAATACACGAACTCATCGACCACCTCGATTTCGTCACCGTCAATCTGAACTCGGGGTCGGAGGCTAACATTGTCTTCCCTAGAACCTCTTCCTTTCATGTATTTTGTCTTTGATGCGTTGATGGCTAGTCCAATCCGTCCAGCTTCAGCCTTCAGTCTGATGTACGTTTCCGCCATCATCTCAAAGCTCCGTGCCATGATGTCAATGTCATCGGCGAAGCCAAGGAGCTGGATGGACTTCCTGAATATCGTGCCACTCGTGTCTATCCCAGCTCTTCTGATCACACCTTCTAAGGCGATGTTGAACAGCAGCTACGAAAGTCCATCACCTTGCCGTAACCCCCTTCGAGATTCAAAGGGACTCGAGAGTGTCCCCGATACTCGAACAACGCACATCACTCGATCCATCGTCGCCTTGACCAATCACGTCAGTTTGTCCGGAAATCCGTACTCGTGCATAATCTGCCATAGCTGATCTCGATCGATTGTGTCGTATGCGGATTTGAAATCGATGAACAAATGATGTGTGGGCACGTTGTATTCGCGACATTTCTGTAGAACCTGTCGAATCGCGAAAATTTGGTCCGTGGTAGTGCGGGCACCCATGAATTCCGCCTGGTATTGCCCCACGAACTGTCTTGCAAATGGTGACGAACGGCGGCATAGAATTTGGAAGAGTACCTTGTAGGCGGCGCTCAGCAGTGTGATCGCGCGGTAGTTGCAGCAATCCAACTTGTCACCCTTTTTGTAGATTGGGCATACGACACCAAATCTTGGCAATTACCCAGTGCAGCGCTCTAGCCAGTGCTTCACCACCGTATTTTAATAGCTCACTTGGTAGTTGATCTACACCAGTTGCTTTGTTGTTCTTCAGCCGACCGATCTCCTCCTCAACTTCTTGAAGATCAGGGGCCGGTAGCCTGTCGTCTTCTGCGCGTGCTCCAAGGTCTGTAGCCGTGCCACCTTCGTTTTCTGCTGCTTCACCGTTGAGGTACTCGTCATAGTACTGCTTCCACCTCTCAATCACCTCACACTCATTCGTGAGAAGGTTACCATCCAAGTCCTTGCACATATCGGCTTGCAGCACGTAGCCTTTGCGCGAACTATTAAGCTTCTCGTAGAACTTCCGTGTGTCGTTCACGCGGTACAGATTTTCCATCGCCTCGCGATCTCGGTCATCCTGCTGACGCTTCTTCCTTCGGAAAACCGAGTTTTGTCTGTTCCGCGCTTGTCTGTATCGCTCCACATTCAATCTCGTGTGGTGTTGCAGCATTCTCGCCCGTGCTGCATTCTTCTCCTCTACTAACAGTTTGCATTCGCCGTCAAACCAGTCATTTCTTCGGTCCGGGATTGCAGCACCTAGTCCCGCTGCAGCAGTACTACCTATGGCTGAACGGATGTCCCTCCAGCCATCTTCAAGAGAAGCTGCGCCAAGCTGCTCTTCTGTGGGTAGTGCAACTTCCACCTGCTGCGCGTAGTCCTGGGCAACTCCGGCGTCCCGTAGTTGCTCAATGTTGGGTCGCGGCGTTCAACTTCGACGTGTGTTATGCACGGTTAAGAGTTTTGAGCGCATGCATACTGCAACTAGGTAGTGGTCCGAATCTATGTTCACATTGCGGTACGTGCGGACGTTGATAATGTCGGAGAAGAATTTCCCGTCGATTAGAAGTGATCGATTTGGTTTTCTGTGTGTTGGTCAGGTGATCTCCAGGTTGCTTTATGGATATCCTTACGGGTGAAAAAGGTACTTCGAACTACCATACCCCGAGAGGCTGCAAAGTTCACGAATCGTTGGCCGTTGTCGTTCGATACGGCATGCAGGCTGTTTGGCCCGATTGCCGGTCTATACATTGCCTCCCGTCCTACCTGAGCGTTCATGTCGCCGACAACGATTTTGGCGTCCCGTTGCAAACAGTCGTCGTACACCTGCTCCAGCTGCGCATAGAACGCTTCTTTCTCGTCGTCGGGTTTCCCTTCGTGTGGGCAGTGCACGTTGATGATACTGTAGTTGAATAAACGGCCCTTAATCCTCAACTTGCACATCCTCGCGTTGATCGGCTGCCAACTAATCACGCGTTGGCGCACCTTACCCAGCACTACAAAGCCGGTTCCCAGCTCGTTGGTGGTGCCACAGCTCTGGTAGAAAGTAGCCGCTCGATGCCCGCTTTTCCATACCTTTTGTCCCGTCCAGCAAAATTCCTGCAGTGCTACGACTTCGAAGTTGCGTGGTTTAAGTTCGTCATAGATTAACCTATCGCAACCCGGGAAGCCGAGCGATTTGCAGTTCCATGTTCCGAGTTTCCAATCGTAGTCCTTATTTCGTCGCGTTGGTCTGTGCCGATTGTTCCGATCCGTATTTCTTTCTTCGGTATTCGGGCCTGCCCCAACTCCATGTCTTGCCGGGGGACCATCGTGCACAGCTCTGTTTAGAGTCCCACGCTGGCACTAGGACGGTGATCAGCCGCTCCTAACATGGAGAACAGACGCCGTTTTGAGCCACACCTCCATGGTGAGCAGACGCTCAGATTTGGTGAAGCATTTCCTCAATCACCGTACTATGGTTACCGCGCCAGTGTTCACGTCGCACCTCTTCACTTTACTATTGCCGGACTGGCAACATTGCCCAGGCTACGCCACCCAGCTGTATCCATGTTTCAGCTGGTAGTCTTTTGTTATCATATGACTCGAGGAGGCGTGAATAGGAACTTGTGAGGACCAGGGCTAGGTATTCCGCTCCTTCCAGGTTGTCAACTCACCATTTTATAGCCCTGTTTGCATAGCAGGGGTTATGAACAGAGAAAGTCGATGAAGAGAATCGTACGAAGCAGATAGGACCATTTGAAATGTTCATCGAGATTTAAAAGTGAATATAAGTTGAATCTTTAAA